CCCCCAGTTTGCTCCTCTCTTTGAAAAGTAAAAGAAAAACTCCCTCCCTGGTACATAATCCCCCTGCACCCCTCCCACCACCCCAAGTACATTCCACTATGCAACCTTAATTATGGATTCTTGTAATAACCATAATACCCTATCATACATCGCTTTTAAATGATTTTCTCCCTCATCTGTTTCAGTGCAGTATACACAATTTATCCAGTTTTCTCAGTCTTACCCCTACCCTGATATCAGTACCATTTTACAGCAGTGGCATCATGCAGTATTTGTCCTTTTGTGACTGAGATCTTTTACTCAGCATAATGTCCTCCAGGCTCAGCCATTTTGAATAATATTTCATGAGTTCCTTGTTTTTTCAATGCAGCGTAGTATTCCATTGTGTGAATATACCACAGCTTCTCTATCCATTTGTTTGTTGATGGGTACCTAGGTTGTTTCCAACTCCTTGCTATTGTGAACAAAGCCGCGATAAACATGGGTGTGCATTTATCTGCCTGGGTGGCAATTATGGTCTCTTTGGGATATATTCCCAGTAGTGGAATTGCTAGGTCAAATGGTATCTCTATTTGCAACTTTTTGAGAAAGAGCCGTACCGCCTTCCATAGTGTTGCACCATTTTACACTCCCATCAATAGTGAATAAGGGTTCCGGTTTCTCCACGACCTCACCAGCATTTGTTGCTTGCTGTTCTGTTAAATTTTGCTATTCTGACTGAGAAGAGATGATATCTCATAGTTGTTTTGATTTGCATCTCAGAGCTAGGGATTTTGAACATTTCTTCATGTGCTTGTTGGCCATCTGAATGTCGTCTTTGGTGAGGTATCTGTTCATATCCTGTGCCCATTTTTCAATTGGATTATTTACCTTTATCTTGTGGTGCTCATGTATTTTATAAATTCTAGATATAAGTCCCGTATCTGACATGTCATTACCAAATACTTTTTCCCAGTCTGTGGCTTCCCTTTTTACCCTGTTGGAGAAGTTTTTGGATGTGCATTATATCATTCTGTTTTATCTAGGGTCTTCCTCTCCTGTGCTGTCCCTCCACCTTTCTAACCATGATGTCCTTCTCCAAGGACTACTGGTCCCTTCTGGAAGCATGCCCAATGTATCTGAGATGAAGCTTCTAAATCCTTGCCTCCAAGGAACAACTTGGTTTTATCCTCTCTAGGACAGAGCTGTTTGCTCTCTTGGCAGTCCTTGGTATGTTCATTACTCTTCTCCAGCACCACAGCTCAAAGGCATCGATGATTCTTCTGTGATCCTTAGTCATTTTCCAGTTATCTGATGCATAACAAGTAATTGCAAAGACCATGCCTTAATCCGGTACACCTTAGTCTCTAGATTGACATTACTCTTCAACATTGTGGAGAGGTCCCTGACAGGAGATTTTCTTAATGCAATTTGTCTTTTGATTTTCTGACTGCTGTTGCTAAGAGTGTTGACTGGATCTGAGCAAGGTGAAATTATTAACAACCTCAATATTTTCTCCATCTATCATGATGCTGCCAATTGGCCCCATGGCAAGATACTTTTTTTTCCCCTTGATGTTGATATGATCTGTATTGAAGAATGCAGTCTTTGACTTTCTGTAGCTAACCCTTCAAGTCCTACTCTGTTTCAGGGAGCAAGGTTGTATCATCTGCGTAATGCAGACTGTTGTTGAGTCTTCCTCCAATCCAGATGCTATATTCCTCTTCATAAAGTCTAACCTCCTGAATGATCTGTTCTGCATATAGTTTGAAAAGATATGGAGACAGGATGCATCCCTGATAGACTTCTTCCCTGATTTTGAACCATGCAGTGTTTCCTTGCTTTGTTCTTATTACTGCTTTCTGGTTCAAGTATAGATTTTTCATGAACATAATTAAGTGTTCTGGGAATTTCCTTTTTTACTATGAATGCAACACCATTTGTCCTCAGTTTCTCATTCCTGGCATAATAGATCATATGATTGTTTGATTAAAAATGGCCCATCCCCATCCATCTCAATTCGCAGCTGCCTAGAATATCAGTGTTTATGCATGCATTTCATTCCATTTTTTTTACAATCTTCAGCTTTCATACTTCATATTTTCCATGGACCAGTTATCAGAGGGTGCTTGCAGCTGTTTCCTCCTCATTTTGGGTGATTTCCAATCTTAGCTCTACATCTAAGACTATTTCTCTGTTGTTGAGAGGGTTTTCAGAGGCCTGTTATTTCAGAAGTGGATGGCCAATGCTGCTTCCTAATCTGTCTGAATCTAGGAACTCTGCTGAAACCTACCCACCATGGGTGACCCTTCTAGCACCCAAAACACTAGTGGTGTAGCACTCACAAACCACAGCAACCCACCAGGTACCCCAGAACAGCAAACTGACAAGTGCTGTGCTAATTAACATGTAAAGATTTACAGACCTAAGCTACAAAGTAATTGTTGTTGTTTAATGCCGTCGAGTCGTAGACGACTCATAGCGATCCTATGAACGAACACCCTGAGCACTGTTCGTACATAGAGTTTCCGGAGGCAAGCCATTTTGGAAGTGGATGCCGCTCCTGCTTCCAGGCTTGATTTAAAAAAAAAAAATGTGTGTGTCAGGGTTGTGTCCTTTCTCTGTAACTATTCAATCTGAGCAAATAATTTGTGAAGGTGGACATTAAGACATTATGGAGAGTAATATGATATCAGGGTTGGAAGATTCATCAACAACCTACATTATGTAGTTGACACAACTTTGCTTGCTTTTAGTGAGGAGGACCCAAAACACTACCGAGGATCAAAGACTACAGCCTTCAGTATGGATTGCATCTCAACATCAAGAAGACAAAAATCTTTACATCTGACCAATAAGCAACAACATGATAGATGGAAAAAAGGTTGTAATTGTCAACAATTTTATCTTAACTGGCAGCCACAAGCTATACACTTGATACCAGAAGTCAAGGAGATAAGGAGACATATTGCATTGATCAGAGAGTTCTGGTGACTTAGAGGCAAGAAGCTGCACTGCAATCCTGAAAGGTTTCAGTTTATCATGTGTTTCATGGGACAAGGATGGACAATCTTTTGTCCATCTTTTG